GAAGAGGACACCAGCTCTCATTCCAGGTGGTTGTGAGCCACCATGTGGTTGCTGGGAATTGAACTCAGGACCTCTGGAAGAGCAACCAGTGCCCTTAACCTCTAAGCCATCTTTCCAGATCTAATTTTTTTTGGTAGGGAGAGGGTTCAAGACAGGGTTTCTCTGTGTAGCTTTGGAGCCTGTCCTGGACCTTGCTCTGTAGACCAGGCTGACCTGGAACTCACAGAGATCTGCCTGTCTCTGCCTCCTGAGTGCTGGGATTAAAGGCATGCGCCACTACATCCTGGCTAATTTATTATTTTTTGAAACAGGATCTCACAAACTATCTGAACTTGAAAAAACATTTTGCCGGGGCTGGATCAGGGGTTAAGAGCACTGGCTGCCCTTCCAGAGGTGCAGGGTTGCATTCCCAGCACCCACACAGTAGCTCACAACCACCTGTATTGTAACTCCAGACCTAAGGGATATAACACCCTCCTCTGGCCTCCTCAGTGCCAGGCACATAGGTGGTACCCAGGTAAAATGTACATAGGCAAAATACCTATACACATAAACTAAATGAACAAAATTAAAGAAAAAAATCTGTTAGAGCCAGGTTCAAGACCTGCCTGGACTGCATACATAGTAGGACTTTGTGTTTAAGTTCAATCCCAGCACAGAAGGGGAAAGATAAAACAGAGAGGAATGATGAGGTCTCTCTGTTGCCCAGGCTGACTCTAACTCCTAGGCTCAATCTTCTATCTTCTTGCTTCAGCCTTTGGCAAATACTACCCTGCTTGTCTCTCTGTCTGTAATTTAAGTATGTAGTCCATTAATATTTAAATGTTATTGATATGGTTGGATTTAGGTCTACTTATTTATTTAGGGTGTGTGTGTGTGTGTGTGTGTGTGTGTGAGAGAGAGAGAGAGAGAGACAGAGAGACAGAGACAGAGAGACAGAGACAGAGACAGAGAGACAGAGAGAGACAGAGAGACAGAGAGACAGAGAGTAACAAAGACAGAGACAGGGTCTCATGATGTATCTGGCTGGCCCGAAACCAGCTATATAAACCAGGCTGGCCTTTTGAACTCACAGAGTTCCATCCAATTACAGGATTAAAAGCCTTGGCACTGGCTGGGTGTGGTGGCGCATGCCTTTGATCCCAGCACTCAGGAGACTGAGGCAGGTCTGTGTTGGAGGCCAGCCTGGTCTACAGAGTGAATTCCAGGACAGCCAGAGTTACACAGAGAAACCCTGTCTAAAAAAAGAAAGAAAAAGAAAAAGAAGAAAGCATTGCCACCACACCCAGCTGTTTTTTATTTATTTAGAGAGAGGGATAGAGAGTATGTAGTGTGTGCACATATATATGAGTGTGTGTGTGTGTGTGTGTGTGTGTGTGTGTGATGTATGCACATGTGTAGAGTGTGAGATATATACTCATGTGTATGAGTGTGTGTAATGTATGCATATGTGTATGAGTGTGTGTGATGTATGAGCATGTGTATGTGTGTATGAGATGTATGAGCATATGTAGAGTGTGTGAGGTGTATGAGCATGTGTAGAGTGTGTGTATGAGATGTATGCACATATATATATGAGTGTATACCTCTGTGCAAAGGCCAGAAGAAGATTCAGCTGTCCTTTCCCATCACTTTCTACCTTATTCTTTTGAGGCGGGGTCTCTCCCAGATCCCAGAGCTCTTGTTTCTATTAGTAGGCTGGTATCGAGCAAGTCCTTCAATTCTCCTGTCTTCACTCCTCTCCACACCACTGGTGTCACCGTCAGGACCATGCCCGACTTGTCACACAGGTGCTGAAACCCTTGTGCAGCAAATGTAATCGTGGAGCAGATCTCCAGCACCTATCGTTAGGATTGCTGTTGTTCAGACCAGGATTTCTTGTAGCCCAAGCTGCCCTCAAGCTCGTCAGAGAGCTGGACTTTTGATCCTCTTGTACCTCCCACATGCTGGTAAAGCAAGCCTGGGTTGCCATATCCAGTCCATGCCTTGCTGAGGTTCAGGCCCAGAGCCTGTGCATGCTAACCAAGTGTTCTACCATGCCGAGATCTATTTCATTATCTTTTATTTTTACTTTTATTTATTTTTTGTTTTTTTGAGACAGGGTTTCTCTGTGTAACTTTGTGCCTTTCCTGGAACTCACTCTGTAGCCCAGGCTGGCCTCAAACTCACAGAGATCCACCTGCCTTTGCCTCCTGAATGCTGGGATTAAAGCTGTGTGCCACCGCCGCCCAGCCTATTTCATTATTTTGAGATGAGTCTTAACCTGTACCGTAGCCTGATGTGTAGCTCACTTTGTAGCCCTTGAATTTAAAATCCCCATGAATGTTGGGGGTGCTGGCTTGCAAAACCAGGCAAGACTCTGCATTGATTATTTTATTATTATTGTTGTTGTTATTAATTATTATTGCTTTAAATTTATTTTTTATTATTTTTTAAAAATTTATTGCCGGGCGGTGGTGGCGCACGCCTTTAATCCCAGCACTCGGGAGGCAGAGCCAGG